TCTTTCTCTGCCCGTCCATAAACAGAACAACAACAAAAACACGCGCGAAGGCCTCTGCCGCGGCTGGGCTCTGGGCACCGCAGGGCGCACGGCGCCCCAGTGCACGACCCCCGCCGGCTCCAACTTCCGCGGCGTGCGCCTGGACGCCTTCGCAAGGTGTCGTCGCCGGTGTCGTCGGCATCGCCGTCGTCGCCGCCCCCGTCATCGGCATCGCCGTCGTCGCCGTCGCCGTCACCGTCGTCGCCGTCGCTGTCGTCGTCGTCGTCGTCGCCGTCACCGCCGTCGCCGTCGCCGCCGTCGCCGTCGCCGCCGTCGACGTCGCCGTCACCGTCGTTGAAGTCGCCGTCGCCATCGCCGACGCCGTCGCCGCGACCGTCGCGAGGCGGTCGTAGTCTAGGTCGCGGTAGTCGCCGCCGTCGGCGTCGCCGCCGTCATCCGTGGGGGCAAAGGGGGGAGGACGATGGAGGGGGTGGGGGGGCAAGCAAGGAGCGTTCCAACTCGTTTTGCCAAGGTGCGGAATGGTTCTGGAAGGTTTCCGGTAGTTCCCGAAGTTATGGGCAATTCCCAAGGGAGGAGCAGGGAGGGGGCAAAATGTTCCAAACACTTTGCCCCTCGCGCGCTGCGAGGCGGCAGGCCCCGCAGGCGTGGGGCTCTCGTCAACGAGCCACGGCACTGAGGCCTAGCCCCCCCTCCGTGCGCGCCCGCGGACGCGCGCGGAGCAGTCGTCGTGGGGCCGCGCCCCCGGGGACCGCCCCATCTCCGCGCTCATCTGGCGGGGGCGCGCGGAGCCGTCGCACTGGGATCGCGGCCCTGAGGCCCACCCCTTCTCCGCGCGCGCCTGGCTGCCGCGCGCGGAGCCGTGGTCTCGAGGCCACGCCCCTCAGGGCCGCCTCGCCTCCTCGCGCGCCAAGGCGATGCGCGGGGAACCGTCGCTCGGCGGTCGTGACCCCCAGCAACCCCCCCCCTTCTCCGCAGCCCCGCGGGCTGTCCAGTCCCGCGTTCAACGTGTGCCCCCAAGTCTGGCTTTCCGTCATGTTCCGCGTCATGCTTCGTTCCGTCGTGCTGCTATCCGTCGCGGTGATGGGCGGGCGGCCTGGCCGTTGACCCCTCTCGCCGTAGTCCAACCCCGTGCACTGCCCTCCGCATCCACTTATTGGAGCTGGAACTTTACGCTGTTCTATCTTGGCCCTCCACCGCATTCGTCTCTCGCGTATTCAGCAGAGGATGCGCCGCAACGTCTGCGAACAAAAAAAAAAACATCTGCGGTTCTCAAGGAAATTAATGGGTGCGAATGGTGCGCGGCCAGGCTAGTACGATCGAGCTCGGTGTCCTGATGATGCCGCGGCCCGCTGCAACCCTCAGCGAATGTGCACCAGCGGCTCGATGTAGGCGTGGCGTCCAACTCTCTGATCGCAGCACTCGCATGGCCAGCCCCGTCCTCGCTGGGGTCTCATGAGCATGTGCGTTGTCGGAGGCCGCCACCCTTCGGGCGCTGGACGTCCGCCTGATGGGTAATTGCACCGCCTGTTCTTCAACCGGTGAACATCCGCTCTGCTTCAGGCGCTGTGATCGCACGTCGCTTCCGTCAGATGGCCGCCGGTCGAGAAAGCCTTGCGTCGCCGCCATGATGCGCCTTCTCACCAGGGCAACAGTCGCGTGAGCCCAGCCACTTCATCTGCGTGGCATCCACGTCGCGAGCTCCCGCCGCCTGTTCTGCAAAGTGGTCGGCGTGGACGTTCCTGGCCCACGCGCGTCGATGGAAAAACCTTCCTCCCCAGCCTCTTCCCATCTCAGGTGACTGTTGGCGTGGCGCACACGCGCCTGCTCCGCGTCGCCCCGTCGCTGCGGTCCTTGTCCAATCAGCTGCCAGATGCCGCCGTCAGCGCCCACTTCGCTGCGCCGTTCGAACAGCCTGCTGCGCCAGCCCTCTTATACCAGCTCGGCACCCGCCAAGCAGCGCAACGCTTCCGGGTGCTTCGTAAGCCGCGTGCAACGCAACAGTTCGCCTCGGCTGCCCGCTTCGCGCCAGCCTGGGAGGAGCTCGAAGTTGCCCGCGGCCAGCTCGCAGTCGCCCCCGCGCAGCCGCAGCCCTACCCAATCCCAGCCGCAGCCTCGGCACCTCCAGTCGGCGCTCCTCTTGTCTCCAGAGCCGTCACCATATGCTGCGATCGGGGGGCCGTCCTCTCTGGTGGCGCGGCCCTCCTGGATGGGCTCGCCGACATGGTCGGCCTGCTCCACCGCGTCGCGCTCGGGGGGCACTGACCACGCTGGCGGAGCGATGCCTCGCAAGCAGAGGGCGGGCGCCACTGGGTGCCCCTGCGCCGCGCGTCGCCTGAGTCGATCCGTCTTGACGTCTTGTCGGAAGCATCCTTGTGCTCGCGCGCGCCGCAGCTCCCCCAGATGCGGCGGCGGTCAGATTCCTCGCAGCCACACGCGCAATCTGCAAAGCCAGCGCCAAAGCACGCTTGCTCGCGCATTCGACCGCGGCGCCTTCCATCGGCGCGCCCAGCATGCCCGAGGGGCCCCCTTGCTCCCAGCGGAGCCCCAGCCCATCTCCCAGAGCGTCAAAATCACGGCGGCGACGGGTCCTCTCCGCTGCCCTCGCATTCTCGAAGTTGGCACGCTGGGGGGTCTGAAACGCATCATGGGCCAAGCTCGTCGCACTTGTGCTCGCCGGTTGGGGCCGCGCCCCCCAGCGGCTACGCCAGCGACCGAACTGTCGCTTCAAGATCGCGCGCGCTGGGTTGGTACCTTCCACGGCCAGATAGGTAGTCAGGCAGCGCCATGGCCATGGTTCGCGAAGTGCATTCGCATCGCGTCGTCGCACCTGCGGGGGGGGGGCGCGGCGCCATGCCGCGCGACGCCGCGCCGTGCCCTCAGCGATGCCGCGCCACCCTGCTGAGCCACTCCTGCTCGGCGCCAATGTCGGAGACGGCGCAGCTTCTCGCCCGCGCCTCCGAAGCGGCGGCGCACTCCTTTCCATCTGCCGCCGAGGGTGGCACGAGTCGCAGTGCCGCGGGCGGCCCCATGCGCCCCCAAGTTTCACCCGTCCGCGCGTGCCTTCACCCCCACCCTATCGGGCCTTTCAGTTGTGCCCAGATGGCCGTGGCGTTTGTGAAACTCGTGACCAGGAGCGCCGTCATGTTCGCCACCTTTTGCCCCTGCCCCCCGAGGCATGCGCACAACTCGCGGGTCGCCTGAACGGTGGCCTTGGGAACCTGCTCCCAGCTGCCGATTATCCTGATTCTGATGTCGCAGAACCTGGCCAGGGGATAGGTCGTGGAATGTCGGTTGGGCCCGTCGCGCGCGCCATGGCTGCATATACTGTTCGAATGCCTTGAGCGCGCGAGGTTGGATCTGCTGGCATAGAGCGGACAAGAGAAAACCCCGCGGCCGCGAGTCACTCTGGTGGCCGAGTGCCGGAGCACTATGGGGTAGTGAGGCCGCGCTGGAAACCACATCTCCAGCGCGGCTGGAACGAACGCGTCTATTGTCAAGCTGTCGTAAATATCCCCAGTGTCTGCTAGCGCGGGTTCAGTCCATATCCCCATGGCGTCGGCGCGCTCGCCCCACTCCTCCTGCTCCTCTGCCCAGCTGCGCACTCGGCCTCGGTGCAGCAGACCCCAGCAGCGCACACATTGGGGTAGTAGTGTTAGCGCCCTGTCTCCTTTGACTGGTTCCGGCATGATCGCGGCGACAGAGAGGAGGCGCTGCCACGGCCAGGCGAGACTCGCCTCGCACACGTCGAGAAGGTCGATTAGCGCCTGGCGCCCGACGGCTGGCAATCTCCTCATGTCGCTCGCGCAGATCACGTCCACTTCCTTGCCCTGGTCGGGCTCGCCCTGCAAGCGCCTGTCGGGGCCCTCTCTGGCGCGGGGGTCACGGTGGCCCTCTTCGCGCGCCTTCGCCCGCGGCGCTGTGAGGCGCGCATTGCGCTCGTTTCGGGGGGCCTCGCTGCGCGCTCAGATATTGTGGAAAATCCGGGCCTCGTCGTCGGCCGCGCCCAAAGGGCAGCGCGTCGTCGCGTCGTCCGCGGCAACTTCGCGGCGGTGGCTTGGCGATCTTGCGCGTCTCTAGCGTGCTCCGCGCTCCGCCGCGCCGGGGTAAGCCGCGCGCTGCATTGGCGGCTGCAGTCGCACAGGTCGCGTCGAACTGCGACGTGCTTCTCCTGCTCGGCCAGGTTAGCAATGCCTGCCCCGCGCTCGTGGGCATGCCCCTCAACGCCTCAACTCGTTGCCTTATTTTTCAGATGTTCTGATGTAGCCTTGCGGTGCACGAGGCGCCCTTCTTACCAGTGGCAGTCCTTCGCGAGCGAGCAGTCCTGCCAGCCGTTGAAGACCTCTTTCGTCTCCGATCGCGAAGTTCGATTGTTCCGCGACTGCCAGGTTCCACCAGGCTGCTCTGCGCGGCGCGCATCGGATGCCGCATCGCGCTCGTCTCCCGCCCCCTTCTCATCTGCTTTGAATTCGCAGAGACGCCCGCGACCTCGAAATGCGGGGCGATCTGCCACGGAGACTTCGCATGCCATGCTGTAAAAGCACTCGAGCGCGCCGACGAAGAAGTGGCCGCGCCTTCCCAACTGTTCCGCGCCGCGGGGGTCCGACTGGCATGCTGCGCTCCTCCCGTTATGCTCGCGGCCCGCGCCATTCGTGTCTAGGAGCTGCAAGCGCGCTGTCAATTCCCAAATGCAGTCTGTGTTCGCGGTGTCCACCCCCTTTGCTTTTGCCACGGCCTCCTTGAGCAGCTTTTGGCCTGGCGCCCTTCGAGCCCCCGTCTCCAGGTCCGCATCGCGAATAGCGCGAACAACCGCGTTGCACCTCGCCCTTTGAGCGCGGTGGCCCTCGGCGGTTTCCAAAGGGCTGCGCGCGTCGAAGTCGTCGGGGGGGTCGATCACTGGCGCGCCCGCCCTCGAGGCGCCCCGTCTGCCCCTCTGAGCATGGTGGCATGCATTGCTGTGGCGATGCTGTCCCAGGCAAGTCGGCGCCCTCTGCCCTCTCGCGGAGCCGAGGGCGAGCAACGCGCGCGCGCCGGGGCGCCCGGCAGGTCGGCACCCCCTGACCCCTCGCGCAAGGGGGGGCGAGCAGCGCGCGCACTATCCCGAGACCGTAGGGCGCTCAATCCAACCACCTGGCCTCGGCGCCCCCCAA